TTAAGTGCTGTGACTAATAATTATTTTATTTATCAATAAATGAGTTTTTTTAATAAGCAATTATTTGTTTACTGTACAAAATATCAAAAAACAGTGGATAATGCTCTCAGAGCTTTGGTCATGTCTTCTCACTGTTTGCTTGATTTGCGATGTGACTCTACCAGCTCCTGAGGAAAACATTTCTCCTCAGCTGCTATAACCTCCACTGTGTTCACCAGCTAGTCATCAACGATGCTGTTTGGTGCAGTGCACGTAATATACAATGGGTTTATCAGAGCTTCTTTACTAAGCCTAGTAAGCCTCTACCCTGCTAGAGACAACTGTTAGGCAGTCATTGAGTAACACATCACACTAATATGTCTTGTCTAACAAATTACAGTTTGAAATTTGTTAATTACATGGCTTAGCTAGCTATATAACATTGTGTAAAAATTTGTTCTGCTAATTAGAAATAAATAGAGTAATGTAAGTCTCTTTTTATTAGTGATAAATAATTTGTCATTTCTTAAAATGTTTTAGGGGCAGCACGGTGGCGCAGTGGTTAGCGTTGCCTCACAGCGAGAAGGTTCCGGGTTCGGGCCCCACCTGGGACCTTTCTGTGTGGAGTTTGCATGTTCTCCCCTTGCTTGTGTGGGTTCTCTCCGGGTACTCCGGCTTCCTCCCACAGTCCAAAGACATGCAGCTTAGGTTGATTGGTGTCTCTAAATTGCCCATGTGCATGTGCGCGTGTGTGGTTGTTCGTCTATGTGTTAGCCCTGCAATGGATTGGCGACCTGTCCAGGGTGTACCCCGCCTTCGCCCAATTGCCGGCCGGGATTGGCTCCGCCCCCACAGAGATGTTGATCTTTTGGCCCATGTTGACCCAGAGTGCATGATATGTACCCATCAGGCTAAACCGACCCTGTTCTCTCCTGTAGTGTGTGTGAGTCAGTGCAGATGACTGAATATGTGTTTTGAATTGTGACTACTGTGTCTGAAAATAGCTATCTCCAGTCCGTGGTCTACTGAGACATATACTTTCATTTCCCATGAGGGGTCAGTGGCCGTGGATCACCAAGGGCTCAGGCCTGTCTGGTCTGGACCAGCAACCCAGTTCTCATGACACTTGACATAGAACATATACTGTGGTCATACTGCAGTGCTGTGCTATGAAGGACGAGGATCTGCTCACAAGGACTCTGCAAACATGGCGCACTGGGAGATGGCAAGGCTTTGTTATGGGCCCTGCCCACACACCATGCTGCAGCTTTCAATTTATAAATGTGCCTGTTAACAGATCCTCTTTATGAGCCTACTCGCCTGCCTCTTCCAGCACACTGGAGGACAGTTTATGGCTGTGTAATGTCTATAGCGTTGCACCCTCAAACAATCATTTGAATCTTGGATCATTTAAAGAGCTTGGCCCACAAAGCTGCTTCCTGTATGAGACGGTCTGACGCCTCAGAGGGGAAGGTGGTCACAAGATAAACCTTAAGAGATGCAAATTGGCATACGGTTTTTTCTGACTAATCTATTTTTTGCTTTTTGTAAAATAGAAAAAACACATTTTCTCTAGATTATTGATTAAACTTGTAATGTAGCGTAATGTATATTAGTCTCTTGTTTAATTTATTTACTTGTTTTTTAATTTTATTCAGTTAATATTTTTAATCTTTTTTTGCTATAGTCTATTCAGCTGGATATAATTTAGCCTTTATTATTGTATTTTTTCCATGCTTGTTGTTTCTTGTGATTTTGTGCTGCTGCAACAGTATAATTTCACTTTGGCATAAAAAATGTTATCTATCTATCCATACATACACACTCTTTAAAATGGGGCCATAACAAGACATTGCTTTGTTTTATGGGTCTTGAGCAAAATGTTTTGGAGCCACTGATTCATTGCTTCAGTAATCCCCAGTAACACTGATGAACAAGTGTGGAGGCAAATGCCTAGAATAAAGGTAATTAAATGCTAAATATATACAGTAGATATATGGCTGCGTTCAATATGCAATGTATTCAGTGTGTTTTTCTATTTGTAGTAGCACACCTTTCAGCTTGTGTTTTACTTAAACTTAGAAGGATACGTTTGTTTTGTCCAACCTAAGCAGTACAGCAGCACTCTAGGTTCCTGGGTCTTGTTTTTGATAGTCTGTTGCCTTCGTACAGCTACAGAGTGCGGTGACTACACTTGAGAGGCATTTAGAGATGCATTAGAGGTCCGAATCTTAGAATATATCAGACAGCAAGAACTTGAAGTCTGTCTCACTTTGAGTGTACGCTCAAAGTGCACAACTGTTTTAGACAGTGATCACATCTAGTAGAAGATTTTCATCTCTTACCTCGCAGGATTGTCTCCACACTCTGATGCTGTTTTTTTCCATACCTTATTTGCTGTGATTATAAAGGGAGTGAGTACTCTTCATTCTTTTTCTTTTTACTGTTTGACTTGGTGATGACCATTCAGCTGAATTATTTGCATGCATTAATAAATTCATTAAAGACAACTGAGCTCATTGTTCATTTTGCACCACTTTTATTAGTTTTTAGTTTATTAGTTTTGCCACTACAACAATATAGTGAGGTAGTCAGCTTTACAAGCTTAGTAGTGGAACAATTTACAGTTTGCTTTATTTACATCCTACAGTGGCTTTTTCATTGGTCCACTTCCTGTGTGTGTTTTTTTAACCAGTGACTGATGATCAGCTGACTATGATACCCAGTAAGCAGAATGTGGTTACATAATGTTTTGTGACTTAACTAAATGATGATGATCTACTGAACACATCATTAAACAAGTGACCAGTACACAGTGATTTATGGGTTACTGTAGGTCAATGGAAACAGCTGTTTTGTCCTCCAAAACTAGGATGGCTGCAGTTTTTGACTCTTTGAAATACTATTTATTAGGTCTAAAAACAACTTTATAGGATGCAGCCCTTGATCTGGAACACACTTTATATTTGTTCAGAAGATGTCTGCCCTAGCATGCAGTGGGTGGAAGTAACACTGTACCCTGCTCCGAGTTACCACAAACAAACAGACTAACATTGGTGGGTAAAACTCTTTTGGGAGTAAAAATAAATATTGGATATGTAATGATCCGATTAAAGCAAAATTCACAGGAAATGAGCATATCAGGCTGTGTGACCCATATACATGCTTTGGCTGTTTGTTTTCTGCTTTTTTTTAAAAATGCAAAATGGAAAAACTAGTGAGCCATGCTAAACAGCCTATCTTAACACAAAATAACCTGAGAGGTAATGTGTAGAGGGCTCCTCCCTGCATCACATGGGTTGCAGGTAGCATGTGAGTCCTCTGAGTTGTAGACTTGTGGTTGTAAAGTCAAACAGCTGCTTTATATGAAGTCAGCAAACAGCTGATTTTTTAGTGCAAAACTGAAAACATAGAAGTTTCCGATCAGCACAGCTTTATTTGCTTGTGTCCTCTTCCATTTTGATTAATAGCGTAGCTCCTAATAGCTCAACAGAACATGCAGTAGGTCAAACTGATAGTGAATTTCAAGAGCACCCTCTGCTGGACCACAAGGCAAAATGCAAGTACCAAGTAGTATGGTGTGTGAAAGTGAAATTTCAAGTAAACAGTGACAGCCCTAGTGGTTACATTTTGGATATGACACTTTGAAAAATATGACTGCTTTAAAGCAACTTTGGTTTGTGACTCTTCACAAGACAGACAGGTGAATGAACTGAGCAATGTTCATTTTGCAAAAAGGATATTTAAGATACATATGCATTTGAAGTGGTTTCAGCTTGAATTTGTTTCCACTCTGTTATGCATGTAAAAATGTTCAGTGAATTGTTTATTTTAAATTGAATATTTCAATTTAAAGCTGCATTAACTAACTTCTCCCTCTAATTTTGGACCATTAAGGGTGAAGTGAGAGTCAAAACAAATTCCAGCAGTATCCCCTCCCCTTCTCCCTCTGCTCTTCTTTGCCCCTCCTGCCCTGTCTGTGCAACTAGGCCACATGTGGACATGACAGCCAGAGACAGTTGTGGCAGTCAGGTAGCATAGGAGTAATAACTGGCTCCAGCACTAATGTGTACAAAATATAGAGCCCATAGATCCTGTGGTTTTCAGTGGCATTACAGCGACACAATGCCAAACAAAGGTTTATGTCTAAAGTGCCTTGTAGCAGATTTATATGCAGTAACACAAATAAATTATAAAAATGAATGTTTTTTCCCAGTTATATTGATACAGAACCAGAGTAATTCAATCCAAAGGTACAAAATTTAAATGCTGACGTTAGCCTGCTAGTGATGTTGCCATACACATGTTATCTAGCTACTTGCACATCTGGAAGGAAGAAACCCACATTCAGGTCAAATTTTAGTCTGCTTTCTTCTTTGTCGCACTCTTTCTATGCTACAGAACATGGCCTCTTGGGTCTAACAGGTCTGATCCAATCCTGGGTTGTACCTGCACAGGGAACCTCCATGATCTGTCTTAGAAATGAGCAGTGCTGGTTTGAAAAACACATCTTATAACCTCGAATCAGTGGGGTTGTGGAAGAAGTGCATTGCAGATTTCAACAACACTGGCCACAGAGGGCAAGAAAAAAACACAAAGCCTGAAGATAGTACAGTGGGGTGGGAGTTAGTACAGCAGGGAGAAAAGACTTCTAGACAATTTATTACTTGATTTATCCACATTTGTGCTAAATCTTAGTTAATACAGCTTTAAAATGTTCAATTAAGTTATTCATCTTTGTATATATTTGAGGATTAGTAAAGGAGGAGTTTCAATAATTATTCATTATCATTTTTATTGTCATCACTAAATTGTCCTGACAGAGATACAGTATGTCAGAATACATTTTGGCTTCTGTCCTTGTCAAATCCAATTCATGTCAATAACTCATGTAAAATTCACAAATACCATCAACCAAAGATAAATTAATAATTTTCAAAATTAAATAGTTAAATAAATTAATAAATATAAATACATTATTTAACAAATAAGAAAATTAAGAGCTACTATATATAAAAAAAATATAAACTATTTTACATTTGTGATCAACACAGAATTTTTGAATTCGATACAGAATTCCTGAATTATTTCATGTGACATTATTGCTTATATAAAAATTAGGGTTATGATGCATGCATGTGACAGGTCTGATAAACGGCAAGCTTTCTTCTGACTTTGTTCTATGAACTATTAAAAAGTGTCTAGCTACAAATGAAGATGTTTAATAGCCTATTTGGAATCAGCCCTTGGAGCTGCAGTCATCCTCTGCATGGTGCCCTTTGAAGCAGGCTGACTCATAGTGCTTGTTCAGGTAAGACTTGAGTGCAAAGCTTTTGTGGCAGTGTTTACAGGAGTGGTGTTTGAAGGCTGAATGTGTCTGCATGTGGGCACGCAGGTTGGAGCGGTCAGCGAAGGCCTTTCCACAGTGGGCACAGGCAAACGGTTTCTCTCCAGTGTGGGACCTCATATGGCCCTGCAGGAGCCAGGGCCGACTGAAGGCTTTGCCACACACCATGCACTCATGCTTCAGGTCATGGGTCAGCATGTGCATTGCCAGCGCCGGCATGGAGACGTACACCTTGTGGCACGTGGAACACTTCCTGGCCTGTTGGCTGTCCAGGCTGCGGTGAGTCTGCTTGTGTCTGCTCAGATTGGAGGAAGTGGCATAAGACTTGCCACACTCACAGCACATGTGGCGGCCTTTGGTTTTTTCTTTAGGAGGACTGCATTCTGCCAAGCCAAAAGCCTTTCTTGTGTCTGACTGCTTGCCTCCCAGGCGTCTGCGACGGGAGCGTCCGTCAGAGATGAGAAAGGCATTGATAGTACAAGCCTCTAACTCAGGGCCTGACTCAACTGAGGCACTGGAGACAGGGCTGTCCGGATGCTCCATGTCATGGTCAGAAAAGTCATCCCCACTGCTGCCACCTGGGGAATACAGGGGCCCTGAGGAGAGCCCAGTCTGCTCATGACTTGGCTTCTTTGTCTTGTGTAACCCTGAGGGGATGATGTAATTACGGATGTAGCCTGAAAAAGAAAAAAAAAGAATAATGAGATGAGAAAGATTCTTTTCACTGGAGTAAATGAATTTAACACCTTCATGATGTCAGGAACCTCTTATCAAAGCCTAAACTTCTGATCTATATAAAACCTACACAGGAAGCTATTTGTAAGTGCCAGGTTCAGCAAGACTTGGGAATGAAATATTAATGATGGTGTACTGATCGGCCTCGATCAATAGCTCCACTGGCTCCAACAGGTGCTGTCATAAAGCTGAAAGACTACTGTGGCAGAATGTAAGTAAACACAATATGCTGACATTTAATAATGGTAATCACTTTTATTGGCCAAGTATGTTACACACACACACAGAATTTGTCTCCGGTACAGAACCGAGGAAGCCATCTGCAGCGCCAACTCATACACACACACACACACACACACACACACACACATTGATGGTGGAGCTGTCCCTGCAAAGTGCTGACCTGGCTATTGGGACCAATGTGGGGTTCAGTGTCTTGCCATAGGACAATTTGACACGTGAACTGGAGAGAATGGGAATCGAACCACTGACCTTCCAGTTAAGGTATTACTGCCATACCCCCTAAACCACAGCCCCCCCTCATTGAGCCAACACTCAGAGAAATAATTTGGCTCCTGATCGATCCACCTGTTGCCACCTCGCTCCAACAGCAGAACACTAGTGAATCTGTGCAGGGGGTGGGGCTGTTTCTGAGTGTGTGGTTGGTGTTGGGGGGGCAAAATCTCCCAGATCACTAAATCATTTTAATCAGATCATTTCCCATCTGTGGGGTTTTGGAGTGTTCATGAGTATGGTAATGGGGGAACTGAGTGACAGGTGGGTGGGGGTCTGCAATTTGGCAAAGAGGGAAGGGAGGGCAGAGGGGTGTTTGGTGGGGGTCTGATCTTGTTGGCAGTCAGTGGTAGGATGAGGCATTC